AAAATATTAGATTATATAGAACTCGCCAGCATGACAAACAGATTAAAAAATAAAGATGATAAGAAACTAAGAGAAGACTGGACATTATATATAGATTATATGGAAAAAATATAACAAGAAAATAAGTGAGAGAAACTGAAAAAACTCAGGATATGGTAATGAAAATAATTTAGTAAGAAAACGCAGTTTGAAAAGATATCAGATAGGAAACCAGGGAAGGAGTGGAAGGGGAGTTAAAGTTAAGGTGTATACGAGTGGAGGAATAAGTTATATTACGATTATTACTCTTTTACTTATGTGTTATATTTAAGTTGTTGTTTTTTCTGATTACCTTGTGTTTGACTGTAACACAGTATGCATTGATGATATGATTAAACAGAAAAGCAAATTTCAAAAAGAAGAAAGGTCAACGATTTATTTGTGTCCAGATTTTCGCTGCTTGAAATATGGCAAACCTATCTGTTGGCCAGAGGCTGGGAACCTCAGACCTAAAGACCTCTTTAACTTTATCTCCCCACACCACAACTCTCATTTGCCCCACTTTGCACCCTTGTGGGATGTGTCCTTGAACTCTGATCATGCCTTTTACTGATCCAGGTGGAAGCTAGACATGGACGTGTTCATACGTGTAGAAACTAGCCTACTGGACAAACGTAACATTTGCATGCATTGCTCCGCCCACTTTTGCCTCCGCTCACACCGACTGCTGGCGTTTGGCCCTAGAAGGAAATGCCTCCCTCAGGCGAAAAGGTTCCCAATACCTGCTATTGGCTATCACAGATCACTTCTTTCAGCAGAGGGAGAGGACCCTGTAGATATGAAGACTTCTGCAGGCCCAATGGCACCACACTGGCATCCCGTGAAGTCAAACAATGGATATCAATTTGAAGCACCTACAGTATTTCCCCTAATTTTTTCCACTATCACCACGCTGCATATGGTGGTGCTTTAGATACCGATGAGGATGCAATGACGGCAGCAGATGATGCCTCCTTTTCCACCTTCGCTGCCACTGAGTAGCCTTTGTTATGAGCATGTACCAACTTCCTCTGAAGTTTTTCTCCGCTTGCATTCAAGCACGTTGTTTCATTGCCCTGAGGTCCAGGGCACACCAGGGAGCCAAGCAGACTCTACAAAATGGGAGAGGACTCTCGGGGGCAGTTGTGTAAATGGTCCGAGTCATGTGATCCTTCTGCAAGGGCAACTGAGCTCAAGGCAGCTAGTGATACAGGAAAACAAAGAACAACAGAGTGCTAAAGGCAGAATAATAAAATGATTTTTAAAATACAAAGAGTCATTACGCATAATTTAAACAACTGTAGAATGGCATCCACATTATCGTTGCTATTATTGTATTATGCTGTTAGTTTATTAATTGTATATGGCACCATCAGCATGCAAAGCATTTTCCAGAGAGGTCCCTTTTCCTGAGTAGCTTCCAGTCTAATATTCACCATGGAGGAAGGAGTGTCAGAGGAAACAGGTAAGTGACATGTAGCTGTTTCTATTGCACTTGCTCAGGGCAGATAAGAAGTTATGTATGATAAGAGAATTAGGCAATAAGGAACCACGATACAAAGATGCTGGTTTGCATCCAACAGGGTGCTTTGGAGCCTGTCTGCGGCAGTTGCAAGGGGAAGAGAGAGAGAGGTAGTTTTACATGACATGGTACAACTCACACAGTTTTTGTTATTCAGTATTGAACATGTCCAAGATTTAATTTAATGCTGCAATTTGATTTTGTGTGTGTGTGTGTGTGTGTGTGTGTGTGTGTATGCGTCCCCCACTTATGCGTGACTGCATATATGCACAGCGCTGGGAAATAAATAAATCATTCCAAGCTGGAAATCACAGGAGAGAGCTGCAGAGTCCTCGTGGCTCATGGAGGAGACCCTCCCCTGAGTCCAAAGAGGATGTCGAAAGAGACAGGGCTTGTTGAGCCTGCTCAGCCACAACGTAGCACAGCAGCTGCTTCCCTGCACATCCTCCACTCTCCCACCAGCCCCAGAGCTTCCATTTTAGTTGTGGGTTTTTTATAGTATTTCTGAACTGGATTGGTGAGAGAGCAGACAGGGGTTTAGAGGGTGCTCCCCAGTTATGCCCTTTTCGCTTATGCGTGCAGGGGCCCAGAACGTAACCCCCACATGAGCATAGCTGTCAACCTTCCCTTTTTTGTGGGAAATTCCCTTATTCCAGCGCCGTTTCCCACTGTTATCCCAGATTGTTAGATATCCCATAGACTGTCCCCAGGACAGGTGAGGCTACTGATCCCTTATTTTCGAGGCTGCTGATTCCTTATTTTCAAATCTGAAAGTTGACAGCTATGCACATGAGTGCTGGGTCACCTGCTTATATATTCTATTACTCCTGCAGCATAGTCCCTGTGCAGATGATGGAAACTCAACAATGACCCTCGTGCCCTGACAAATGACACATATGCACTACATTCCATCTGCACCAGTGTTTCCCAAACTTTCCCTGTTTTTGGACCACAATTCCCATCATCCCTGACCACTGGTCCTGCTAGCTAGGGATGATGGGAGTTGTAGTCCAAAAACAGCTGAAGACCCAAGTTTGGGGAACTCTGCCATGATGCATCCAGTGTTTCAGCAGCACAGGGATATTAAAGGGGGCGAGTTTTAATTCAGAAGCCTTGCCATCTGCCTCTCATTGTCAGTGTCAAGAACATCTGATAGGCTATGAAGAAGAAGCAAATGGCTGCACTGCTTTGGACTATGCCAATGTGGACTTGCTAGTACAAGTAGGAGAGGCTGTTCACAGCGGTGCACTGTGTCTATTTGGATTCCTAACAAGATCGGAAAAGCTGGCTGATGTGGTCTCAGTAGCTGAAAGCCTGCTAAGTAGAATCCTATATTCCAGCCTAATGGACCACAAAGAGAATTGCCAAGAGGCAAGGCAAACTAATCGAGCATAGCTGGCAGATTCAGTCTTGGTTTTGAAAGGGGAAATGTGAATGATTTGAGAGCGGCCGCCGTATCCTGCCTCCTCATTTTCTCCCCTATGTAGCATTTTTTCTTGAGTTGCCATTTAGCTTCAGGGTTCAGTGTAATATCCAAAAGACTTCTTAGCCTGCGTGTTCCTGAGCCATTCTTTCTGAGTTCATAAATGGACGCAGGATTCTGAGTTGTCCTGAATTATTGAGAGTCCCGTTGGGATTCATGAGAATCTACAGTGAATATTCTCCAGATTATGCCTTAGCTCTCTTTCTCGGAAGCTTTAAGAATCTGATTTTTCTGCTCATTATATGTTGGTTCTAAAGAGCCAAATAAGGGAACCAGAGCTGCTGGGTTCTGAACTGATGGTTTATTTGTTAATGTCATACATTTAAGAAAAAACTGTCAAGGGATTTTTGAAGGAAAGCCAATCTGATGCACCAAAACCGGGAGGTGGTGGGAATGTCCAATTTTCTTCAAACTGCAGATGGTTTAAAGAGCTTGGATCATGAAAAGGAAGGATTAAAGATGGACAGATGGTAATACAATGAGGGGACAGAGGCCTTCCACAACACTCTTCACTAATGACCTCTTTGGACCAGCTGTATGTGTTACCAATGACTTTGCCCACATATGAATAAGTGTTCCACACAGTGGCTGTAACATATGGAGAGGTTTCACACTTAAATCATCACATACTGCGAGTGCAATACTACTGTCACTCACCTGGGAGTAAATCCCACAGAACTCAGTGGATACATGTATAGGATTGTACTACTGCATGTCTCAATTTCCCTGTGGGGAATCTGCCAGAGTAGCCATTGCAAATAAAAAAGGTGGTTATATGATTTTACACAACTGCAAAATCAGGACGGAGGAGGTGTCATCACACAGGTGTTATTTCAAGCCCCCTCCATGTGGTGGTTGCCCTGTATTGACTATGGATCATAGACATGTTTGAATTCAAAATTTCTACAACATCTATGCAGCTCTGTCAGCAAATTCAAGCATACATACACTAAATGACAAGGATGACAGCCAGCATTAAGTCCTACTCGGAGTAGACCAGCTGAAATAAGCAGATCCTTTCTGAGTATGCCTTAGTCGGATAGCATCTTAAGAATCATGGTTTGAATTTAATTGTTGGCTGCTTGGATGAGTCGTACATTTTATGCATTTTAATAACTTCATATTTTGTATTATTGTTTACATATTCTGGCTGGGGCTGACATCCCACAACACCTGACAGGACATAGATTCCTTGCCTCTGTCATAGGTGGGCAACTAAAGCGAGTGATTCCTTTGCCTTAAGTCACCTCAGCTCCTCGTGATTGCGTTATTTTTCACCTCAGTAGCGCATTGAGGCTGCCAAGGCAGCATCATCGAAGCAACCCAGCATTCCTTCTGATGTTTTCCACATCATGAGGCAGCACCATGCATAACTTTGAGGTACAATTCTAACAGTTACATTTGCTGCATCTCAGACCATCAAACAAATTCAGGCTGCAGTTCTAAACAACTGTATTAAGGAGGACATCATGTTAGACACTGAGAGTTGGGTTCTAGTCCTGGATTCACTGCAATTATTATTCAAAGGGTCACTTTGTGCAATTAAAATTTCATTCACTGCCTTTTTAAACCAAACAAAAAACAACCACAGGGGGAGGGGGTTATGGATTCATGATGTTACAGGAACCAGCCAATCAGCACTGTGCACAACCAGTTTCTGCTGCAAAACTGAGAAACTGGTTTCTTTTCAGCTCAGTTCTGGAATGAATGCTATACGTCTGAACAAAAGTCCAGAGGGCACTTCCACAGCAGCCCTACTTACTGCTCCAATTTTGCCTATCTGTAATTCTCTGAGGGAGAGAAATTAGAACTCCGCCAGGCCCTTCCAACAACCAAATAATATCGTAAGTAGAACTATATGGAGATTTGTGACAAATAAGTATACAAGTAGCTCATTCACACATGCCACATTCAGCAAGTATGTGGTTCTATATAGTGTCTAGTGTCTTCAAAATGAGTAGAATAAATTTATGTGAAAGTGGATAAATTATATTCACTGGGAGGCTGCTATGATTTCAAAGCGGAAATGGTGCAAGTAGCATTCTTATTTATATGTATGCATCTGTTTGATCAGTCCACTAAGTTATTAGTTTACAGAAGACCTCCTTGGTGCCAAATACATTGTGAAAGGTATCAATCACAAATGCAGTCAGACATGCACACACTCTGCCATCAAGGAGGTCTGATCATGACTCATAAGAAACCCGTAACCAATACAAAATGAACAACAACAAAAAGGAAGTGAAGAACTGTTTCTAAAAATATCATAAAACATAAGAATTTCCTATTTACATGACAATTGCTTCAGTTAAAAATGCTACAAATGCCATTGATTTGGGTCCATATAAAAATAGCCTTGTTTACATATTTTCATGTGCATATCTCTTCTCTGATGCAATATTCTGAGCTGAATGAAGATGATCAAAGTGCCCCCTTAATTCTTTTTCTCTTCCTGTGGTTTTTCACCCTCGTCACCTGACAGCGTACCACTTCCAAACTTCTTCACTTTTGTCTCCACTTTTACAAGTCTCTGCTTGACTTTGGCTTGAGACGCAGTGTACTCTCCGTGGAGTCTAGCAAACCTGGTCTGGAGAATGTCTAGGGCAGCTTCCAGCTTTTCTATTTTCTCCTCCAGGTCTTTGGGATCTGCTCCTGCTTTAGCTGCTTCCTCATCAATCAAATTGTCCTTCATCAAAATCTGCCGTCCTTTTTCTTCTAGTGCCTTTTTGGCATCAGGGTACTCAGTGAGAGCTTCCATCAGGTCATCTTTAGATAAGCAGAACAGGTCAGAATAGCCTATACTTCTGATGTTGGCTGTCCTCCTGTTGCCAGATTTGCTGCCTTTGATATTTAAGATGCTGATTTCTCCAAAGTAGCTGCCATCACTTAGGACCACAAACTGGGTCACACCATCATCAGCCACGACAGCCAGCTTCCCTTCCTTAATAATATACATGTCCCTTCCGATATCCCCTTTCTTGCAGATATAATCTCCAGGACTGAAGACCGTGGGTCTTAGCTTCAACACCAGCTCAATAAGAAGTCCAGCTTCACAGTCTTGGAAGATGCGTACCTTCCTTAGTGTGTCTAAGTGGACATTGATGGCAATTTCAGCCTTCAGTTTATCAGGGAGGTACTTCAGAACTTCTTTCTCTTCCACCGTTTTCTTGTTGGTCCACAGGTAATCAAACCATTTAATAACCCTGTTTTCCAAGTCTTTGGTGACTTTTCGGAACTGCAAGTACTGTTTGATAGAATCAACCTTCGCCTGGAACTCTGCCCTAGAGGCATTCATGTTAGAGATCATAGAGCCTACGTTACCGACAATGGTAGCAAAGATGAGCACACCAACCAGGAAGTCCATGACCACAAACAGATACTCTACATCTTTCACAGGAGGTGGAGTCTCGCCAATGGTTGTCAATGTCAATGTTGACCAATATAAACTGTAAATGTATTTCCTGGACAGACGTCCATGTTCTGGATGGGATATATTGGGATAGACCCAGGTGTCTGTTCCAAATCCAATCTGCTTGGAAATAGCAAAAAATATGCATGCATTCCAGTGGATAATGATAAGAATGTACAAGACAAGGTTCCCAATTCGAAACATGTTTGGGTAGTTTGTTCTCGTTTCTGTACGGTCAAAAAACTCAAATAACCTAGCAATTCTCAGCAGCCGATTAAAGCGCAGCTCAGGATAGTTAATCCCAAATTTAAAATAGCCCAGGTCTGTTGGGATAAGAGAGAGCAAGTCCAGCTTGAACTGCGTAGTAGATTGATAATTCAGTCTTAACTTTTTTTCATCGCGAACTAGTAGTCCTTGTTCCAGGAAACCTGAAAAAGCAAAAGGACAGAGAAGGCAAGAGATTGCTTAAGCAGAACTGTCTACCCCAGAAAGCTGCTCATGGGTTTTCAAATATATTTATTTTCAATATTTTAACTGTTTTGTGACCATCTATAGCAAAATATTGTTTGGCCATCAATATTTATTGAAATAAATAGAATACAGTTGTACCTCGGCTCCTGAATGCCTTGGGAGTCGACCATTCCAGCTCCCGAACAATCGAAAACCGGAAGTGAATGTTCCGGTTTTGGAATGTTCTTTTGGAAGCAGAACGTCCGACGGGGCTTCCATGGCTTCCGATTGGCTGCAGGAGCTTCCTGCAGCCAATCAGAAGCCAGGCTTTGGAAGTCGAATGTTTTGGAAGTCAAACAGACTTCTGGAACAGATTCTGTTCAACTTCTGAGGTACGACCAGGCATTGCCACATTCATTTCATTTATTAAATTTCTATCCTGCTCTCCTTCCCCAAAGAGCCCAGGGTGGTAAACACAAAAATGGTAAGACATGGCATTACTCATCATATATAGGTAAGGTATATAGGTAAGGTAAAGGGACCCCTGACCATTAGGTCCAGTCGTGGCCGACTCTGGGGTTGCGGTGCTCATCTCGCTTTATTGGCCGAGGGAGCCGGCGTACAGTGTGACCAGTATGACTAAGCTGCTTCTGGAGAACCAGAGCAGTACACGGAGACACCATTTACCTTCCCGCCGGAAGGTATCTACTTGCACTTTGACGTGCTTTCGAACTGCTAGATTGGCAGGAGCAGGGACCAAGCAACGGGAGCTCACCCTGTCACAGAGATTCGAACCACCGACCTTCTGATCGGCAAGCCCTAGGCTCTGTGGTTTAACCGACAGCGCCACCCGCGTCCCACTCATCATATATAGTGCTCATCTTAACATCAGCGGGCAGAATCCCACATTGCAGGAGCGGATTTCTGCTCACCCAACAGAACTTCACCTTTCTCTCCTACCCCCTGCCTTCCTTTGCACCCCCGAAATCTGAAGGGTCCCTCAGCTGTACAGAGCAGGTTTTGAGAGTGCTCAGGGGGCTGCAGCAGGATGCTCAAGTCCTTTCTGCTCACACCTAGGCTTCATTTTGGCAGTAAAAGCAAAGCAAGGGTTCTTGATCTGCCCAAGATGACAAAAATAAACAAGAAGCAGATCTGGGAACATAACTGAGGCAAAGCCAGCATGAATCCCACCCCCCTAATTTAACTGAGTCCAGATTCACGCAGACAGACAGAATCTGCTGCCATTCATGGTGTGATTCCATGGTTAGAAACTGCTCAAACAACTCACCTGTTCTGTACCTGACAAATGTGTCCAGGACATAGATGACATCAGAGGAATAGTCCAAGATCAGCCAAAGTGTAATGTGTTCCAGTTGAAGCTCATCGAAACAGGCTCTAAACAAACAGAAAGGAATGGAAGATTTGCTTAGAGCTAACACCTGATTCAAGGCAGGTTGCACTGGGGGGGGGAGCAAACCACACGTTCAACTTTACGCTGAAACACCGCCTGCTTTCATCTCCTATATATCCTATGAGGTTGTAATTCTCCCTGTGCTTATCTTCCTGATACTGGTAAGGAAAGCGGAGAGCAGAAATCAATTTAGCGGAACTGAACTGAGCAAATAATCCAAGAAAAGCTGTGCAATGGCGCAGCCTATTCAAAATATACGGTAATTCATGATCTGTGAACTGCAGGTCTACTCAGCCCACCAGATGGCGGTGACAGGTTGTTACAAGTGGCAAGAGGTTGCTGCAAATGAGATGAGGGTGGTGTGTGGGGAGGGCGGTAGTTCCACCTTCAGAAAGAGCTGCGTATAGATGAAAGTATAGAATTGTAGGGCTAATATAAACCACTTTAATAGACTTGCTGATAGACAGGCAGACAGCTGGATCTAATGAGTAAGAGATAGAATGCTAGGCTGGCATTCCAGATTTCAGAGCGAGTTGAAAGTGAATGGCACGCAAAAAAAAAAGAGGGGAAAATATTAATAAAACATGAATATATTTAAAATTAGCCTGAAAGGTTATATTAAGCAAAACAAGGTTGTAGCATCTTGCGTTAAATCGAGAGGAAAAGAGGCGGAAATGAGCTACAGTGACATTCAAAGCAAACTTGGTAGGCATATGATTTCATGTACAGTCAGCAGTTTCATGTGTATTATTTATATAGCAGATTTGAAAACTGCTACCATTTCGATCTGCGCAACTGTCTCAGAAGAAAGAATGCCAACAAATAAATAAATAAATAAATAAGCACTATAAAAATGATAATGGGGGGGGAAAACCGAACACCAGGACAAGAGTAGGAAAAGGAAAATCAACCAACGTTTCATTCGGATACAAATATTTGCTGTGTTTTTAAAAAAGATCTAACGTGCGCAGTAGTAAAGACAAAGGACCGAAACAGGCAATGACAACAGAAGTACCCACCAACGAAGAATCCTCACCTACACACTATCAAACACCAGTTATAGAAGACGGGTGTTGCAATGATGGTCAACCACCTATAGTACAGATCGCTTGAAGGGTCCATCACAAAGACCTCTTTCTTCTTCCTGAAAAGAAGGGGAAAGCGGGGGGGGGTTATTGTTTTGTTGTTTTTTGTTTTAATGCTTTACTTGTTGTTGTTCTAACTCGTATTTTATCTGTGAACCGCCCTGAGATCTTGCGATGAGGGGGTGGTATATAATTTAATAAATAAAATAATAGCAATTAGAATATGCAGATGTGAGCACATGAAATTCCATTGATCACAGGCGCATCTCGTGTCCCAGAGAGATCCCACTTCTAGTACGCTGAAGGCTGCAATTTTGTAAAGAAATACATTATAGCCAGCATTGACCCATCTAGTATGGCCGAACATGGCACCCACGTATATATTCATAAATTAGAATCAGCAAGTTTATCTTAGGGTCGCCATATTTCAAGAGGTACAAAATCCGGACACACAAAGTTGTTGAGTTTTTTTCAGGGTAATTGCCTGATAGCACCACCGCTGAGCCTGAGTCGCCCATGCCATATCCTGGACCACCCCTGCCAGAGCCAGAACCAGACCCAGAACTGCCCATGCACAATTTTTTAAAAAATTTAACCCCAAATCCAGGACATTTGCTTTAAAATGTAAAATTTCTCCCTGGGTAGGACCCCCAAAAGAGGACATGTCTGAGAATTCTCAGGTGTATAACTGATCCGACCATCAGTCAGTGCTTGTCATCAGCTAAAGTGGTCTCATCCTGTGCTTCAATTAAGGATGCTTCATTCACAGCATCTTAAGGCTTGAACTGGACAGGGTATCGAACAGATGGCCCATACAGATGTGAAAGACTTTGCTCACCAAACTATCAGCATTACATTTACAACCTTGCCAGTAAATACTGAATAGGACCGAAGCGAGACATCTTGTTTTTAACCAGCTTTCACTACCTGCACAATCACTACTATCACAGTACAGCAGCAGGTACTATTACTACAAGTCTACAGCACACAAAGTACACAACTACCACTATTGTTGCTTCGTTTTCTCACATCAGTAGCATAGTTGAGATGCAATCTTTGCAACACACTTCTTGGAATCAATTATCTACTTTGCCTTCTGAGCGTTCTATTTCTTTCCAACCTTCCTCGACATGGTGTTGCAAGGAAGTTGATCCTCATCGGTGGGCACAAGCTTAGGTAGTGACCCAAAGCCCAAATCCCACGACCATGTCGGAGTAAACCTGCGTAAGATTGAACTGCAAGGCTGCCATGCTAGGCACCCTTCCTTCCAAGGAAGTCTTGTTGAAGTCAGTGGGATTCATTTATCTCCAAGAATGCATGCACAACCTTGCGCTTTGTAGAAGTGCAAATAGGTTTAGCGGCTATATCAATGGCGCCCCATCTGTTCACGCTAGCAGTACACATGACCTTAGTATTGGAAGCTTCAGCTATCAAACCTGAATGTGCCAAATCCTCCGGCCACTGTGGCCAGTTCTGTGCAAGAAATTCAAAGGGTGGGGTTAGCAGGAGCTTCCTTCCTGTAGTACAACCTTTGCCAACTTGGTACCCTCCCGGCAGGGGAGGATGGAAGTTGTAGTCCAATTCATTTGGAGTGCAGCAGCCTACCAAAGACTGCTGCAATACATTCCTCTCTCGCCCACACAGCTTGTTTTGCTGCCCTAACTGGCCAATGTGCCAAGGAACCAGCAAGAGGGGAGAGGAGGGAAAGTGGGGTCAACACGTTCTTAAACTGCTCTAAGGGGACAACCAGAGAACACAGGCTTTGCCAAGCCTGACTTGCATATCCTTTATATGTTTACATATGTTTACATATTTTTGTAAATTCATCTTACAGCAGTGCTGTTCCTTTCTGTTTAAAAAGGTCTGTGGCCATGTGGACGGGGTCAGTCACAGGGGTTTTGCCCTAACACTCAGAGCTGCAAGCCTTTATACAGGAAGGCAACATGGTGTGGAAAATGCACAGGGGACCAGCTCACATCATGCTGCTGTCACCTGTAAATGATGGCTGCACCAAATGTCACCAAATGATGGCTGCAATGTTTCTGCGTAGGTGCCAGAGTTATCCTATGTTTGCGCAACGTTCTGGGAGAGGTGGCCCTAATTCTCAGTAAGTTGCGGAAGGTCCCTGAGTGGCTGCAGCATTCTAGAATGCACTGTTTGAATATTCCAGAGCCAAAGCCGATTGTAGGTTTCGACACGACAATCACTCAAGAGCTAAACGACTCAGGAGCAGTTAGTTGATTATACCATTCAATTCTGTACAGAGCAGGAAGTGTGTTGTAAAGATGCAGTCCTCCTAATTTATACTTACTCTTCTTCCTTCTTTTTATCATCCTTTTTATCATCTTTTTTGTCATCCTTTTTCTCCTCTTTCTTTTCTTCCTTTTTTTCCTCTTTCTTTTCCTCCTTTTTCTCCTCCTTAACATCTTTCTTTTCTTCCTTCTTTCTGCATAACACAGTGTGCAACGGACTTATCAAAACGTGGTTGGCTCACCAGCAGCTGGAGAGCTAGCAAGCAGGGAGCAGGTTCAGGAAGACTAGAGGAGGCCAGTCTAAAGTTTACCCGAATGGCTACTTGCCATTAATACAAAATATTGTGCACATCACAATAGTTGGTGAATATCAGGAACGCAACACCACACACACACACACACACACACACACACACACACACATATGTGGCTGATTTTGAAAGAGCTTAGTACACACTTTATACAGTTGCCAGCAATAAATCTTTCACACAACAGCCCAGAATTTATCTATTTGGCCTGGTGTGCTAAGGAATCATTCTGACACCTTTCTTTGGGGTAGGGTAGGGAAATAAAGTCTGATGAAGTATAAGAAATCTCTATAGAGAGTTTGTGTCAAGTTGTCCCTCTGCACCATTACCTAGATAGTACGTGGTGCTGTTTCTTTCTTCAGAGAGGCTGTAAGACTCGTATCATTAAACCAAGAATGCCAGCCCAGATGAAATGAATAGTGCCTGACGATTGTTCCCTGCCCAATCTACTTCTCTGACAATTATGAAGCCATACGTGGGATATTTAACATGCAGTGAAACCAACATTTCATGTTTCGCTAGATAGGCACATGATAGGAGCAAAAGCTCACAGAGTCTTCCTGTAAGTTTGCTAGAGAGGACCCTGTGAGAGACCCACCTGACAGGGGCAAGGTGTAGTAATATATTCTCCTCCCTGCCTGGGCACATTCTCTTCCTCTCTTCGGTGACATCTGCTAAATCCGAGCTCCATGATCAGACTCCCTTTTAAGCTAGACTTCGTAACTGATATACCATCTGTTATTCTGCAACATGTATTCTGAGCGAGTAAATGTTACTTTTACATTTTACAAGACTATTTTGTTTGTGATTGAGGAGAAATACCAGGAAAATCCAGTCTGCCTTAAAGCAACCTGGATTACTCAAACTAAAAGACACAATATTAAACATGAGAGAGATGTTGAGAGAGAGGCTTAGGCCTGGCACAAACATCACAATAAGCCACAGTTTTAAAACAGGCTTACCCATGAAAGTACCTTCCCACTGCCAGGTGGGTTCATTGTCTGCCCCATGCAGCTCAACCAAGACACAGGATTGCTTGTCATGTTGTCCAAACCAAGGCTATTGTTGGTTTCAAACAATGCTTGAGCGGTAAGCCATAAATAAACTATGGTTTGTCCTGGATGTTTTTCTGGCTCGTATCTTGCGCTTTTTGTTTGAAACATGACGAACAGCACTATGGTTTGTTTGAGCAATGCAGGTGCTATGTGAGAGGGGGGAAGCTGCTCAGAGACCCATACAGCAGAGAGGAGCCACATTCCTGATTGAACCGTAGTTAAGCAAGTTAGCCTGAGCATGAGTTGCACACTGATACACACAGCTAATGCACTCCCACTTTGTTCCTCCTCTTAGTTGTGTGGTGAAACAAACTACAGAGCAGCTGACTTGGCGTCCATTGCATCCAAACCAGTACTGATGGTTTGCTTCTCCCAAACAATCCATGATCGAGAAGCGAAGGGTGAAACCTTGGCTCCAGATCATGGTTTGTTTGTAGAGAAACAAACTACGAGCCCGGGTTTGGATATAATACCAAGCCAAGTGGCTTGTTTTCCCACACAAATAAGAAATGAGTGAAATAGGAGTGTGACACCACACAGCTCACATGTCAGCCAGTTTGCTTAAATGTGGTGTGAGTCCAGATTTATGTCAAAACACAGCCCACTTAAAAGAACTGATAGATTTTATCTATGAATTTACATTGGAAAAGCTCAACAAAACCAGCCAGGAGGCTACGATTCAAAGTAAGGCTATAAATACAAGGGCATGGGGTTCCCCCCCTAATTACTACGGTGTGTAAATTCCCAACTATCAGCATCACTAACCAGAAGGAAAGGGATAGATTATCATCTACAAGGAAGAGATTTTCCACAAAAGCATGGCAGCTGACATAGGGTTTAAAAGGGGGGGGGACAATTGATCTACAGTTGTGAGGAGCATGTTTTGCAGCAGTGGGGAGGGACTAGGCAAGGCACAGATCATCTACGTACTTACTCTTCATTGGTGTTGTTGGAATAGTTGATGTTAAATCTGGCCAGAGCCCATTGACTACAGTGAGTTAAAATTAACAAGTAAATGCATGGGTGAATAAGAGAGCAACACAGAAAGCAGCATTTAATACATTGGTCACTGTGTGCAACTATCCTTACCTCCATCATTCATTGCACTGTTAGGCCTTCCCAGATTCTGACAAGATTAAGGAGGTCAACTTTGACCGCAGCACTAAGCTCCTTTGCGTAACTATCCAGGGCACTGGGCACCCATGTTCACGTGCAGCTTGCACACGTTTGTGGCCATGCCTGGTGCCTGAAGCACTTTAGCCTGGTCTCAGGCGTCCTAATGCTTGACAGTGGAGGATCCAGCTATTTATAGCACCCATTTGGCTGCGACTCTTAAGTGTTCCTCAAGCCGTTCCAGTCATCCTCGCGGCAGCAGTGCCAAGACAGGCTTGGCAGAAAACAGGCATATTTACTGCTGCTGCAAACACCGCGGCAGAGCAGAGACATGGCTGGAACGCTGCAAATCTGGAACTTCGAAGGAAGGGGAATGCTATCTATTGGAGAGCCCAGGTTCAACGCTTATCATTTGTGGGAGGGAGGGACATCGCGGTAGCATCAGTGATGCACGCTTTTGATTCCCTGCCTGTGATAGATGGAGACTCACAATTCTATACTGAAGTGAACATATGAAGCCTGCAGTTAAGGAGCACCCAGATTGGTCTCTGAAACCTTGTAATCAACAGCAGATAGTGCTAGATATACAGAACACAGATTACTGGGGTATCACATCTTGGTTGGTAGAGCACGAGACTCTTAATCTCAGGGTTGCGAGTTTGAGCCCCACGCTGGGCAAAAGATTCCTGCATTGCAGGGGGCTTGACTGGACGGCCCTCGTGGTCCCTTCCAACTCTACAGTTCTAAGATTCTATGCCCTCTTTTAATCATCCAGGGGCTGCTACTTAAAATGGTTAAATACCGTCAACACACAGAGCAAATGTTTAGAAATATCTCCTTGACTGAATAAGGTGTAGACATTCTACAAGCTCAGGGACCTGACAAACAGCCAACCCCGAGCACATTCTGTGGTATCTATTGCACCAGGAATGTGACCTTCCAGACGCTGTTGGACTACAACTCCCATCATTCCTCACAATGGACCATACGAGCTGGGGCTGGCAGGAGATGGAAGCCAATAGCATGGGGAGGGTCACAGACTCTGCATTCCTGTGCCACACAATCCAGCATTCTAAGGACTCGCTTCTGATTGGGTAGTCCCAGGGGCGAGAAAAAGTTGAAAACCTAAATAAGCAATATTGGGGGAAAGCTGAGACACCATAGAGGCCCAGGCAAGGTTCCAATGTCAATGGACAAGGCTGCTGGAGAAGGATGGTTTGCATGGGTTGGTAGTGCACATTATATGCACCCAGAAAATCTCAGGTTCAATTGCTGTCATCTCCTGGTAGGGTTGGGAAACTCTGAAGAGCTGCTGTCAGTCAGTGCAGACAATACCAACAAGATGAACCAATGGTCTGACTTGGGACAATGCAGCTTCCTGTGCTGTGTCCTGTCCTCATTTTCTCCCCACCAGCTTCCATTCTCTCCTCCCTCAATTCTACCAATGGTCAGATCCCAGCCTCTATGCCCTTCCTTTCTCACTTTCCACGGATTGTTTCCTGCCCAACAGTGTGAGCTTTTTTTGGGTGGGGAGGAGAAATGAATCTTGGGCGTACGGTCATTTTTGCCAAAAAGGCAAAATTGATTGATCTCTGCAAATTTATTTCATCTGCATTGTTATTCTCACTGCAGAAGTTTGGTTTCATTTGGCATCAAACAGGACTGGGGAACCTGTGGTCCTTCAGATATTGGTGAACTGCAAGTCCAATCAGTCACAGCCAGCAGGGTCAAAGGGCAGTGATTGTGGGAGTTGCAGCCAGCAGCATCTGCACAGGTTCCTCAGCCCTGGTGTAAAATATGGAAGATTGAGTAAACAGCTCTGTTTGCCATGCATTGCAGACCATCCATATTTCAAAATGGGCAACCAAGTTCAGTCTGGAAGCCTGGAGCGGAAGTCATAGAAAGGATCCAGCCATAAATCTACATGAACAGGAGTATGACTGAATGGGTACATTCACCGAAAACTATTGATATGGACTTGTAGCCCTTATACATGACAGGTGCAAGTCACATCGCATTAAAGCTAATGGCGAGACTTCCAATTAATTTTTAGGATTGTCTACAGCAGGGCCGAGGAAGCTCTGGTCCTCCAGAGGATGCTGAACTCCAACTCCCATCAGCCCCAGCCAGCATGGCCGGTGGTCAGGGATGATGAGAGTTGGAACCTAAAAAAGTTTGGAGGACCAAAGTTTCCCCATGCAGTATTCAGTACCTATCAGTACTGCACTAAACAATACTTAAAAAAAAAAATCAGAGCCTCGTAGCTCCTTCCCAAAGTCCAGGAAGCTCCTTCCCAGCTTAGGAAAGAAGGCACAATGCTCTGGTAGAGTCTGAGAATCCTCCCTTGCATGGTGAGTACTGACACCCTTTTTCCAAGGAGAAAAGCACTTGCACTAAGTATCCCTCTGTAAGCACAACGTTCCAAGCAAATATCTTCCCACAGAAGCTGTATCCTCTTACTTTTTCAGTCCATCTGCCTCTTCGTAGTTCAGCTGGGTGTTGCTGTCTCTACTGGGAATGTCTTTGAGTTCTGGCCCTCGGATTCGCTCAAGAAAGGAATCTGGCCTTTGGTCTTCATGATGCAAGTTCCTCCTGGCCCAGGATCGCAGTGATAAGATGAACCACGATAACCTGAAAGGATGGAGGGAACAGCTAGGCAGTACGAACTGACCAAGAGAAAGTGAACAACTGTATACTTCAGAAGGTTTCCTAAGCTTAGCATTCCCTTGTAATTGTGTGATTGAAGGTCTGTTTGAAACTTTCACAAACTAAACACATGGTGTGTGCAGAACCCATTTATTATTATTATTATTATTATTATTATTATTATTATTATTATTATTCCCCTCCCATCTGGCTGAGTTTCCCTAGCCACTCTGGGAAGCTTGCAGCGTATATTAAAACATAATAAAAAATCAAACATTAAAAACTTCCCAAAACAGGGAAGGCCCTCTGCCTGATTCCCTGTAAGTTCTCTTCTTGCAGTGAGGGAACCAGCAGAAGACCTTCAGAGGAGGACCTCATTGTCCAGGCTGAGAGATGGGAGTGGAGACACTCTTTCAGGTATACTGGGCCAAGGCCGTTTAGGGCTTTCAAGGTCAGCACCAACACCTCACTCCTTCCATTTTGATGTATTTCCATTTGATGAGGTGGATGTCTACACTTCAATATAAAACATCTTTACATTTCAACATCTGAAGTAAATATTACACAGGGGGATATATGCATAATTTGTCACATCTAACCAGGGCTATTCAAGTTATTATGGCATTGCAGCCAGAAAATCCTACATGATTTCTCCTTTTCCTAGGCAACAAAGATAATGAATAGCATTTGCTACCATTTCATGACACCCCAAAACATCTGCCCAAGGTGGCCTCCCCACTCTGGCTAAAAGTAGGGCTGGTCCCATAATGTAAACGTGTGGCGGAACCTTGCGCTACTGAAGTATTCATAGGATGGATTAAGTTCAAAGGAAGCCAACGAAAAGCTTTCACACTCTGTGTTCTCCCCACTACTAATGCAGCGACAAAGCTATTTTTGCTAACATGGGTTTCTCCAACAACAATAACAAAACACTCTCCTTCACATAACCTAAAACCGCTTACATGATAAGTAACAATTCTTTGTCAAAGTTGCACGGTGAACATTTTGCTTTCGTCCAAATTATATTCTGGAGAAAGAAACCCCCTGTGGTGATTAAAGGGAACGGATCCAGCATTTTTGTGCCAATATTTGCAAAGTTGGATGCTTTCCCACACGTCAGACGCACAATCAACAAAACATTGAAGAGAACATAACATTTTGCAAGGACTTAGTGCTGCTCCACACAGCCTCATTTTAGCTGGTGCTGAGACAAGCCCTATGGTGGCTTTGAGACCTTTCAGAAGATTGTGGTTCCCCACCACCTCCCATGAAAACTGTTGAAGTGGGAGTTATGCCAGATACAAAATGTGACCTCTGATAGAAAACTGAAAAAGGTTTCACCAAGATTTCACTCTCAATTTTACATTCTCTCAAGGAACTAAAAAGAACATGCTTTGAATACCACCTTAATCGCCCAATGCAGCACGCCCCCAATACTAATCAGGGGTGCCAACTTGAATAAAATATTGGGAGGAGAAACTAAGCACAGTCAATCATATGACGCAGTGCACACACACCATTTGAATGGCAATGCCCTTCAACTTTGGGGTGGCCTGGACCACTCAAATATTTTATGGGGGGCAAAGACCCATTGGCCCCTAGGAGTTGGCTCCTATGATCCTAATAGTTCATATGGTGATCAATTTATCGTCCGTTTCTTTTATAATAGTTTGATATGAACGAAAATTTGTTTCTTAGGCATTTTCACTGGCCAGTCCCGCCCTGCCCCTTTGCTTCCAGTGCAAGACCCCATTAACCTCTTGCAAGGTCACTGCCATGCCATCTCCCAAACGTAGCTTACCTAGCCATCGCTCCGCTGCCTGAGAACGAGCTTCTTCGAGATTCAGGCAGGCCGCCCGTCTCCATGGAAATGACTCTGTGCAATTCGGGAGACGTGTCCTCCTCACACAGCGAGCGGGTCCTTGAGAATCAAAGAGTAAAACCCGAAAGAACAACACATTTAGCCCCCATTTGACGTGCACTTGCTATTCCTCCAGCTCTCCCAATTAGGCAACAACCGTGGAGGAACATGCATTCCTTCCGAAGTCACAAGTGCTATTACTGTCACGGGTGACGTTATGAAAAACGCAGCACATTAATAATCTTCCGCCTCAGTTCCGCATCGCTTGATGTCCACAAGAATTTTGCCAGATGGAACTTACTGACAGATGCATTGTCTTCGCATCTATTAGATTTTCTGCCAGACCCATCCTAGATAGTCAAGGCAGAAAACAATAGGTGAGCCGGGGTGGGGGTGGGGGGACTGTAGAAATCCTGTCAGAATCAAAGCCCACATGCTAAAAAAAAATCAACAGATACTAAAATCCATTCTGAGACGGGGGGAGAGGAGGAAATCCGTTATATGGTTCAGAATGCAAATCTGAACCCACTTATCTGGGAGTCAGTCCCATTGAATCCAATACTTCTGATCAGCCATGGTTAGGATTGCACTGTTAAGGCTACAGTTCGACACTTACTTAGGTGGGGTAGAAGGCATCCTATGGATTTAAATGGGGCTTATTTCTGGGTAGACCTGCATAGGAGTGCATGACGAGGTAAGTTAGTGGGCTGGCATTTGTATTTATGATCTGACGTAGCCATTTCTGGGCCCAGGCACAGAGAGGTTGTGGTGGGCAAATGAATACCAGGAGACATCTTCTCATGACCAAGTGGGCAGTGAGTGGGGGAGGGGACTCAGAGTTTTTCGGAGCAGCAGGCAATGGCCTCAAGGGCATTGTTGTGCCCATAGGCACCATGTTGGCAACCCTTGTAAACTATATTCCCATAATGTTTGGGTTTCAGGTTGTGCTTTCTTTGGGAGTCAGGCTATGTTGAAAGATACAGAACCTAGTTTACCTGGTAAATCCATTTTCAAGCTTATCATCAGGGTCATCGTTGATAGTCTTCAGAGACAGCCTATGGATCGCAGGACAGGAGTGATAGGTATCAACTTTAGCCATTTTGCTTTACATATCAGCCTCCAAACCGTACCTGAAATACACAAAGAATGCATTGTGAATCCTGCATTGCAGAGAAGAGACTTTAAAGTTCTTTTTTTTAAAATCAACAGAATAAAAAGACCAAAAGCAGACGGGGAACTTATGCAGAGAAATTGTGGCATTGTTTTGCTCAGAAGTCATTCCCAAAGTTCAAAGGGACTTTGCTCCCTAACATTTAGGACAGCAGTCTCAGCAAACTAGAGGTGACATTAATCATACCATCACATATCCATGCATGTTTCTTTTTATCATTCAGCTAGTTATTGGCTGTTCAATAGGCCTATCACACAGAACACAGGCAAACGACCTGGGGTCCTCCAGATGTTGTTGGACTGCATCTCCTGGTGTTGCTGGACCACGGCCCCAGCCAACAATCAGGGATGATGGGAGCTATAATCCACATCTGTAATCCACATCTGGGGGTCAACACAAGTGAATAAAGGTGGCATCAAGGAGGACAGAAAGTAGATCTCTGAGTGATTCGCAAGACATTACTTCCAACCATTTAATAGTAGCAACAACAAAAATTTGGGTGGCCAGGTGCGAAAGAAGGTAGGGCTCCTAGACTTTTAATAGTTGTATAGAAGAGGGAATTTCATCCGTTGTTAAAGAGGCAAGAGCCCTGGCCACTTTTGCACCTGGCTCCCAAGCAAGAAGACTGAGATTAAGAAAACAGGCAGAAGGCAGAGAACCAGGAGCGAATGTCTCAAATGTACGGTGCAGATTTTACCCTATAAGTCCATCATTCTTTAGTCCAATTTGAACCAATGAGACTTGTGTCACATGAAGAATTTGTCCCATTTATTTCTATGGGACTGAAGCAAGAGCCTTTGACCTGCGCAAATTAATGTGTTTTATTTATTTAAAATGTTATGTTCCACATTTCTGAAGAAAATAAATAATGACTTAGAAGAACACAAAATACAATTCTAAACCAGCAATGTAATATTAACGTTACTCAGTAACAACAGAGAAACAGCCACAAGAAATGAAGGAAAGAGCAATTTTGTCAACCAAAACCCTGTTGGAAGAGGCTTATGCTCCTCCCAGAAACTATTAGAAGAGTATCTTCCCACACCTCTGCAGAAAGAAAATTCCACAAACATGGGTCAATATCAAGAAAACCCTTGTTTTATGGCCATCATCTATCCAAACCCACCACAAAGATGGCAACAGTGATCCAGAAGTGGAGAGGCAGTCAGGAAGGTAGGAAGGTCCCAAGCCATGCGTGGCTTCAAAGCATTTTTAAAAATACCTTGACTTAGACCAGTGGTGGGGAACCTCCAGCCTTTGGACCTATCTGGTCCCACTGGACCTTGCAGTTTGGTCCACCACCAGGCTGGACATCATATATATGACATCATTGATAGCTTAACCCTTAAAACTGTGGCCAAAAGCAAGAAGAATTAGAAGCATACCCTGGTATTTCCTTTGCAGCCAAAGGTCAACATTTTTCAAAATTAAGCAATGCAAAGCAACAGAAAAAGGCTGTGCATATAAAGAATTGGAAGCACATTTAGAGCAAGCTGCCAGTTCCTTCCCTTGACATTCTATAATCAGATGTCATGATGTCGCTGGGTGATTGGCAGTTTGAGAGGTCCTAGCTACCTGTCAAAGTGGTCTGGGGGACTCGAGGATCCCATCTAGCTGGATCCAGATTTCTACTCCAGTTTACAGACAGAAGCATATTTAAAGACATTATTGCTGGAACAAAACAGGCTGACGATGTACTACCTTCCAAACACCCAGCTCCAAACTTGACTTACGTATTTTGTGATATTGTGATATGTATCTTTGCCGATCTTTGCTGCACTGATACCCTTAAAATAAGGCCGCCATATAAAGCCAGACATAAGAAGATAAGAGGAGCTCATCGAGTCCATCATCCCATTCTCACGCTGGCCAACCAGATGCCTCAGTGGGAAATCTGCAAGCGGGACCCAAGCACACAAAAAATGTTCTCTCCCCTCCTGCTGCTTCCAGCAACTGATATTCAGAAGCATTGCTGCCTCTAGCTAAGCTTCGTTTGTTGTCTCTGTTTTCATATCTGCGTGTTTTCTATAAAAAGGGGTACAACCCTAAGGTCTCCTATCAAATGTAACAGAACTGTAGAAAAGACTTTGCAACCTGAAACAGAGACAATGCACATACTTTCATAAACCAATAAAATCTTCAATAAAATTATTTTATCGTCATCATGGAATCCAGTGCTGAATCAGCAACCCCATGGTCTATCCCGTGCCCCTCCATATGTTATTGAACTACAACTCCCATCATCCCTTGTATTTACCGCGCTGGCTGGGGCTGATGGAGGGTCATAGGTTCTCCTGCTGCATAATGTAAACAACTGAGCTTTTTATGACACGCTGAAGCAGAAGCCTATGCATGGTATTGCCTCCACATGACCAGCTGACCAGGAACAGTGCCGGATTTACGTATAAGCTAAACAAGCTATAGCTTAGGGCCCCACTCTCTTGGGAGCCCCCAAAAAATTTAAAGGGGGGAAAACTGGATGTACATTTCCAAAATATAAGATAAAATAAAATAACAAATAAAATAAAATAAAAACTACATACAGCAACAGTGTTTTGTGTTGTGTAGGCTCTTATGATGATTGTAAGTAATACATATTTTGTTATGTGTAAATGGCTTTAGATACCTATTAGGTCCATAAATTACCATATAGCATATATTCAACACAAAAAACAGTGACAATTTGTTGTTGACAAAGGACTGCTGGACATATAAAGTGCCCCATTATCTTCAGTAGCTTAGGGCAGGCTTCCTCAACCTCGGCCCTCCAGATGTTTTTGGCCGACAACTCCCATGATCCCTAGCTAGCAGGACCAGTGGTCAGGGATGATGGGAATTGTAGTCTCAAAACATCTGGAGGGCTGAGGTTGAGGAAGTCTGGCTTAGGGCCTCCTGACCAGCGAGCAATGTTTACATTTAAAGCGGCCAGCACAAATATCAATTCTTGTGCAAACTTTCCATTCAAGAAGTTCAACATCTGCATTAGTCTTCCATTGCCTTAAATTATTCAGCTTGAATAAGCTGGATCACTAAATTTTGCTCCACTAAAGTACTGTGCACAGTTTACAGTGGAAGGTATGCCATTATTATAAAGACACACATTTAGGACTGCCTCTAAATACAGAAGAAATGGAGGCAGTGAGGGAAAGAAATGGAGGCAGTGAGAGATTTTACTTTCTTGGGCTCCATGATCACTGCAGATGGTGACAGCAGTCACGAAATTAAAAGACGCCTGCTCCTTGGGAGAAGGGCAATGGCAAACCTAGACAGTAGCTTAAAAAGTAGACATCACCTTGCCAACAAAGGTCCGTATAGTAAAAGCTATGGTTTTCCCAGTAGTGATGTATGGAAGTGAGAGCTGGACCATAAAGAAGGCTGATCGCCGAAGAATTGATGCTTTTGAATTATGGTGCTGGAGGAGACTCTTGAGAGCCCCATGGACTGCAAGAAGATCAAACCTATCCATTCTTAAGGAAATCAGCTCCGAGTGCTCCCTGGAAGGACAGATCGTGAAGCTGAGGCTCCAATACTTTGGCCACCTCATGAGAAGAAAAGACTCCCTGGAAAAGACCCTGATGTTGGGAAAGATGGAGGGCACAAGGAGAAGGGGACGACAGAGGATGAGATGGTTGGACAGTGTTCTCGAAGCTACAAACATGAGTCTGACCAAACTGCGGGAGGCAGTGGAAGACAGGAGTGCCTGGCGTGCTCTGGTCCATGGGGTCACGAAGAGTCAGACACGACTAAACGACTAAACAATTAAATACAGATGGATCAATCAGTTTCCAGTCTGGATCTGTTTCTCACATATTCAGTCATAAATCAGTCCCATCCGGTGTCTCCACATTTAACTGCGATGATAATAATTTAAAAATCCATATGAACATTTAAATGTTTTATTTCAAAATACCATTTCAATACACATTTTATCTCAACGTATGCCTTTCTAAATGTATTTTATCCTAAAATATGCAATGAATAAAATAAAATTGCACATTCTCTTCCTGAGCAGAGAACTGTACTGTAAAGTTCTGCAGAAGTGCGTACTCTGAAGGATAATTACTTTCCAATCTGTGTCTTAGACCAAGAGGTGTGAATTAAATCAGCGTGTTTAAAAATGCCGATTGAATGAAATCCTCTCCCATCTTTAACTGCAGTTAGTCATGTAGGCTAAAGAAAAGGGAAACTATTCAAAGACTCCATGATGGCATCAACAGACAGTGACTCGGCATATCAAGGCAAATCAGCACATCACCCCCCTAATCTCTGCAGATCAATTGCATAAAGCACTTCTATTTTCTGTAGCATCCATTGAATTGGGAGAAAGGCTAGGCACAAGCCCAAATACCTGTAAGGAAATTAGGTAGCATCACTGGCCTTGCTGAAAATGAAAGGCTTGCTTTGTAAAACCTGCTGCTCACCTTTCAGAAAATAATGTGCTGTTTCTCATAATACAAATCCCATGTAATTTATAGAATGTCAACACAAGAATGGCTTCAAGAGGCAGTGAAAGGTTTCCCAGCTTTTCGACCAAAGATACCTTGGACTGCAGCTCAGACCACATACTTTCAACTGTCCCTGTTTTCCAGAGACAGTCCCGGATTTACAGAAGCCACCCAGGTTTCTGATTTCATCCCGGAATCCTTTTCCTTAGGATGTCCCCATTTTCATCAGAGAAATGTTGGAAGGTATGGAGTTATGTGACCCCGCAACCCAAAGAGATAAGTAACTATACAACCTGAAGGCAGCCTTGTATAAGGACGTTTCCAAATGTTTAATGTTTTATTATGTCATTATATATGTTGGAAACCACCCAGAATGGCTGGGGTATATAATTATTATTATTATTATTATTATTATTATTATTATTACTACTACTACTATATTTAGGACTTCCCTATTTTCATCGGAGAAATGTTGGAGGGTAGGACATACTCCATCACACAGGAGTACAGTGGT